TTTACAGTCACTGCAGTCAGGTTTGTCACAGGAACAGTGGTGCCTTTCACAAAGACATCCACAGAAATTGAAGTCGCTGAAATCTAACAACGGATGTGCAAGGCCTTGTCTTGAAGGAATGTCAAGCAAAGTTCTAGACATGAGGAGCCATCTCTTTCCTTGGGCTACCAGGCATCTCGGGGGTGGTTGATTAACATCGAAGGTCCAGCTTTGCACTCATCAAAGAGATTTTGCTTATCTTCATAATCCTTAGCACTGCCCTGCAGAGAGTCTTTCTAAAATGCAAATCTGACTTTTTCAGTCCGCTGCTTAAAATCCTTCAATGTCTCCCTGAGGCTTTCAAGTGGAAATCCAAATTCCATAATATGACATAAAAAATTATTCATGATGTAGTTTCTCCAAACTATATTTAGTCATTCCTCACTTTGTAGCAGCCAATACTTAATGCCTTGCAGATGCAAAGTAGTATAGATACCATACATGTTCTTGCACCCCTTGGTGCAGTCAGTGTGCTTTGCCTCTGCTCCTATTCATTCTTCGGTAGCATGACTGAATCACCGTCTCTCCAGGTCCCAGTCTAGATTAGATGCTCTTCATAAATTTCTCATAGAATATACCACAGCCTACAAAAACAGCTTCTTTGTTAGTCTGCTCACCCAGTTACTAGAAGGCAGGAACTGGGTCTCTTAAATCCATGTTACAGGATAGTATTAAACACATGAGATATCCCATAAATATTTACCAAATAATACACTGATTTTTAGGTGGGGGGAAACATAGTAGAAAAGAAGAAATGGTTCACAGATTAAGAAGGTGAGCAGGGCGATGATGTTCAATGGCATCTAACGTAATGACGTTTAAGGCTTTCATTAAAGACCTATTTTTCAAAGGCAGAATATTGTCACCACTATGAATAATGTATAAATAAACTCTGCTACTCTCGCATGTCATGTGGAAATGGGTGACGTTTATTGCTTCTCTCTGCTGTGTCTACCAATTGGCACAGGACACACATCTTCGTGAGTCTGAATACGCATGTCTAAAGCCAACATTCTGCTGGACAGGTTTTGTTTTACTTCTCCACTTTTTGGATGGTTTTCCCTTGGTGTCTTTATGTAAATATTGGTGTCAAACAACACAATGTGTACTAGAGAAATACTGATTAAAAGCTCAAAATTGGGAGAAATTGCATCTTTCATGCTTCCTTGCAGCCACCTGCTTCTCTCAATCCCAGGCCTGTTACATGTCTTACTTATTTTGTTTGGCTTTTTTAATGTGGGAAGAGATGTGTTCAAGGTGGTCAGCAGCTCCATGAATTTCTCACTGCCTAAATCCTTAAGTGGGCAGAAAATCAGAGTGAAATAATGACACAAATTCTGCCGAGGCAAAATGGCCTACGTTGCATATCTAAAAAGAGGATGTCATAGGTCAATGATGTATCATCCTGCAAGTTTCTCACATGTTCAGTGGTGAGGATATTTTTGATCCAGCTTGGGATGAATTATAATATGCTTTTCTTGGCCCATTATTTCAATAGCAATATTAATAGCAAAAGTATACACATAACAAGTCAGAGTATTGTGGTTGTTGAGACCATATGATTCATACATTTAAAGAAAGCACAGATTCAAAGGGATTACCTGTGTGAAGCAAGGAAACTTTTCACTCCTCTCCTGCAGGAAGAATTTCATTTCATCAGATGTTATCAGAAAAAGAGACGTGGTTCAAGTCAAAGAGGAAGGGTTGAGTTTGGGGCTTACTTTTATTGTTTTCTCTCACTGTTATTATTACTGTTAGTCTATAATAACACTGGCTGATAGTCTCCTTACTACTTTTATCAAATAATAGCTTTGAATACCTTAAGAGAGTAGATGTTTATAGTGCAGCAATGCATACTTATTGAACTCTCTGAAAAACCAAACTTTCTTTTTTCCCCATGAACTAAGAGTGATGGGTAGCTAATAAATAAAGCAATGTGCCTTTCTAATATCAGATAATTATTTTATGAATGATAATTTATGTATCATAAAATAGGAATTATCATCATTTTCTCCCATACTACCAACACCATCCAATTTTCTAAAAAATTAGCTATCTCTAGATCAATATTTCTCATGAGTTTTTTGCCCACATCTATAAGATTTTTTTTCTGGGAAATAGGTGTAAAGTTGAGGGAAAAAATAGCAAGATAAAAGGTTTCTATAAAAACCCCACCTGGCCCTCTGAAGTCCAGTGATAACTACATTTGGTGCAAATGGACAGCACCAGTGGCTGCTAAGATTAGGGGTTTTCGCTCACCCAGAGGCTCCTCAGAAGAAAGTCCTGGGATGACATCAGCCAAATCAGACATTGGAAACTTTAGGGAGCACATCCCCCTGGTCAGCCTTTGGGGTTGCCCTCACTGGCAGGTGACTGGCTGGTGCCTGGAGCACTCGGGTGGGGTGGGGGGCTATTTTGTTCCTATCACTAAGGAGACAGTGGAGTCATTGAGAGGCACAAATGGTTGAGGGCTGCTAGCAGAAGGGTGACATTTGGAATATACCCTGGGGCACCTTAAAGAGAGGCCTGGCCACCTGCTGCTGCCATGTCACACTCTTGGAAGGCCTGCGGGCAGCTCTACGCTGCACACGTGGAACTGCTGCAAGCTGGGATTGACTCCACGGCAACTAACAAGGAGTTTGTAGTTTGTGTATGTGTGAATCATCTAGAGGAGTGTATTCAACCACATCGGGGTGGGGTTAGAAAACAGGCCATCATTCCTGGGGATCTCAACTAACTAGTGGAGCATAGCCCTCCTCTTTTGTCTTCCATGTGTTTGTGGCTGGTTCACAGTTACAACTGGAAAAAGAAGGGGGGGAAAAGAACAAATAGAGCCAGTGTTACCATACTTAATAATGTACTCCCAGATCTAAAGGTTTGACTGGATTTAAAACTTCCTATGACCTCCAACGGTTCATCGCCTTATTGCTGACTTCTGACTAAAACAATTAATGCTATCAATCATAAAAATATACTCACTGAACATGCTACTCAAAATCTGTAACATAGACCCCCACCGTGCTGGACTTAGAATTACACTACAAATCATGCCAGTCTTTCTGTTGAAGGTGGTATTCCTTGTCTAGGGATCCTCACCTAAAGGCTATTCAACTCAAGGCCTGGCACTATGTCTATTCTGTGAGCACTTACTTTTCTAAATTCCTATTGCACTACTGGCCTCTACCAATCCTACTAGTGTTGGTTTTTGATTGTTTTAAATTCTCCATCTTAAAAAATCTTACATTTTTTCACACATATACAAATATTGTCTTGTTATTCTTAAAAATAACCATATTAACTTCATTAAAAGTCAGGTTTTACAGTGAGATTTAAGAACTTTTTTTCTCCCATCAATTTCCAATAATACATTTCTAAAGAAGAAGAAATTGGGAGTGAGACATTCTTCAAAGCTGATCAAATCATGAAAAGCCATAGCCAAAAAATAGATAAGTTGTGGATTAGGCCAAGAAGGCTGAAACTTCAGTAATTAAACAGCTCCCCCAAATAATAACAACAATGTATTAAAGGTGATATACATGCAATTTACCACACAACATCCAAATGCAGACAAAAATTCTGTTCATTCTATTTTTCGGTTCTTAAGTCATGCAAACAACATTTGAGATCTATGGCCATGAAATGTTTGGGAAGATAAAATGAAGAGAACTGGAGAAGCAAATTGAAGGAAATTGAGAGTAGGGTTGATAACGGTAAGACAGTTACTATATTTCCTAAAAATTAGTAAATTCATTCTATTAACAGTTTGAACTAAGCTTCAAGTTACTGGTTAGAGCTTAAATGGAGACAAACAGAGAAAGGTTTAAAGTAGGAAAGAGTAAAACGCTGGAGTGTATTCTAAATCTCAGGAAACTTAATGAGAGTTTTATGAATTTCATTGAAGCCAGCATGAAAAAGCATCATGAATGGGCTGGCCTCAACCAGCCCCTTAAAATATCTGAAATTTTGGTTTAAAATGGACTCAGGGTAAATGCACCAGCGTTTAGAAGATGGGGAGGGCTTCCAGCAGTCGACAGGTGACTGGATGAGAGTTGCTGATGAGAAATTCCCTGAAACGGACTGAAGGCCAACGAAAAGAAAGACTGGAAGCATACATAAAAACTCAGCTGCAATTAATATTGCAATCAAGTGACCACACTGGCCACCTCTTCCTCCCTCGCTGGAGGGGTCACCCTGTTCTTGGCAACATCTCCAACTGGGCCAATTCCATCTCCTTCCTCTAACCTCCTTTCCGTGGCCTCAAAACTCACACCAACACCTCCTTTGCTCAGTTTCTCCACTGCTGTGGGGCAGAGGGAGGGAGTCTTCGTTGCTTTCTTTTTCCCTTAAAAACAATCCTTCCTCCCTCTTTCTTTATGCCTATCTACTCCTGGCTTTATCTTGCCTATCTTTTCCTTTTAAATTCACTGCTTATAAAACAAACACCACCCAACGCCCCCCCCCCCGCCACGCCCCGCCCGAAAGCCCACGCAGGAGAAAAGTCAGGCAGAGGGCAGAGGACGAGGGCTTGGCATTTTGCAAGGACCCTGTGGCACCTGCGATTCATTTGTTTTCCTAACCCTGAAAGGTGGGAAGGGCAGCAGGTGAAGGAAAAGAAGAGCCATGTGACCCAGTTCCTCTGAAACTTTCAGCTGGCTGCCACTCCGCTCCCCTCCCCTCCTCCCCTCCATTCGCTTTCATCATCCATCAAGACCGGCGAGTGCCTTGACCTCTACCTGGCCTGTGGTGTGCGGAAAGAGGCAAAGCCCGAAACGCAAGACCGGTTCCCTCCTGAGCATCCTGCGCCTCGCGAACGGCGGCAGGTGCGGAGTCCTAGCGCCGCCGGAAGAGGCCGCTGTTCGCACAGAACAGCCGCCGCCGCCGCCCGCGCCTCCCCCGGCCCGACTGGCCCAGCCCCGCCAAGTTCCAACAGCCCCCAGTCGGGCGCCAGCCGGGAACAAGCACCGCCCGGGCAGCAGCGGACCGCGCAGGAGTCGCACGAGCCTCCGAGAGGCTTCTGGGAAACTCCCACGGGCCCGGGGACTTGCTAAGGGCGGGAGACTCGCCCCGTGCGCTCAAGTCCGCGAGTGAGCGCTCAGCCCGGCACCTGTTCCTCCGGAGCCACCGCCTTCCCAGCCCTCGGAGCCGCGCCAACCCGGGCGCCCGCCCGCCTCGGCGATGAATCCAGCGCCCGGCAACCAGACCGACGTGGCGGGCCTCTTCTTGGCCAACAGCAGCGAGGCGCTGGAGCGCGCCGTGCGCTGCTGCACCCAGGCGTCCGTGGTGACCGACGACGGCTTCGCCGAGGGCGGCCCGGACGAGCGCAGTCTGTACATCATGCGCGTGGTGCAGATCGCCGTCATGTGCGTGCTCTCGCTCACCGTCGTCTTCGGCATCTTCTTCCTCGGCTGCAACCTGCTCATCAAGTCCGAGGGCATGATCAACTTCCTGGTGAAGGACCGGAGACCGTCCAAGGAGGTGGAGGCGGTGGTCGTGGGGCCCTACTGACCGGCCTCCGGCCCCCACCCGCAGCGGCAGCGGCCCCCACGCCGACCCCCTGCCCCTCCCAGATGGGGCCAAGCAAACCTCTCGGGTCGCTGAGCTCCCCGGACGCCTGCCTTTCGGGATGAAGCGGCCGGTGTTCCGCTCACCCTCTGGAAGCCCCGTGCCTGGCAGTTGAAAAGGCGAGCGCCTGCACTCGGGGACTTAGCCGCAAGTGGCAAGAAGAGGGTGGCTGGGGCTCAGAACTTTGCCAACTGCCGCTGGCCTGGGATGCGGGGCGAGCGACGGGGCGGCGGCCCTTCTCCACCGCAGGTGGGCCGACCAGTGGGGGTAGGGGGAGCGGGCGGGCAGGGGGAGACCCAGTGAGGCCCAGAGGACCCGGGGATGGAAAACTGACCTGTGTATAAGCCGCCAAGGACCGAAGGGGGACTCACTCACCTTGGTCCAGATTCTCACCCTCTCCTCCCCGCTCCCCGCAGCCCCTGGCGGGGGAGAAGGGATGTGTACCTGTGATTGATTGTAACGTGATGTTTTAAAGGATTTGTTCGTTTGTTTGCTTGAATACAAATATTTGATAAAAAAAAAACAATGCCAGAAATATGCTTATTTGTGTTTTCTTGAGTATCCCAGGACATTCCACTGGGTGGATCATAACAATCTAAGGACAGCCTTGAGAAGAATGGAAATTCCGGAACACTTCAATGTGCTCATGAAGAATTTGTTTACTGATCGAGGTTGTGTGAACAAAATAAGGGGTGATTGCATGGCTAAAAATCAAGAAAGGTGTGCCTTATGATTACATCCTCTTATTTTTCTTTCAAACTGTATGTTTGAACAAATAATCAGAGAAGCTGGATTATATGAAGAACAATAGTATCAGGATTAGAAGAACAACCTGAGCTATGCAGAAGACACAACTTTTCTTGATAAAACAGGAGGATTTGAAGCACTTGTTTATGAAAATCAAAGATTGTAATCTTCAATATGGACT